ACCTGTGACGTGGTCTTTCGAACGGTATATCAGCTGCCAAAAATTTTAGATTTGGCGCTGAATGCTTCAGAATAGACATGCGCCTGGCACGGCTGTGGCAAAGCCTCCTCTTCCAGCTCATTCTCTAAGTGGAAAAGAGCTTGCTCAATTCTTAGCCTCTTCTCCTTAGCGCCACTCCGACCCTGCGCTCATTCCTTTCGACTCTGTTTGATTCAAGAACCCTCCTGTTTCTTTCAAGAACGGTACCCATCCATCACCCATCACATATGTCACATATAATTGCATTGGCATATGTTCTTTTAATGTCAAACTGACTTCTGTGTGGATCACCAGGATCTTCATCCACCGCCGCCGCTGCTGCTTTGCTCCAAGCTTCCAGCAGTGGCATCTTTTGCCAAACCATCAGCCGGCCCTGTCTCCACCAATATCTGAATGCTTCCTGCGAAGGATTCCTCAGGAAAAGCACGCCAGTCGGTCATGCCTGAGCAGTCTGGGTTGGAGAAGAACCTACAGAAAGTCTAACTGAGGGACTTTCCAGAAAATATCTGAAGAAGGTAAACCGCTGAAGTAGACCATTGAGTAGACCACTGAGACCCCGAAGAATTGTATGAAAGCACTGCGGAGCACCTCACGATCTACAACCTAAGCAGGATTTCTTCGAACTACTAGGAACAAGAAGCTACTAGTAACAAAGGGCATCGCTACTAGGAGCAAGGACGCTACTAGGAACAAAGGGCATCGCTACTAGTAACAAGGGACACGGCTAGTCGTAGCTCCTGGCGACTGAAAGCTCGAGGCCTGGTGACTCGGTGGACTCTCCGTTGGACTCCGAGTCTCTCCAAAGCATTGAAACATTTCCAAAAGTAGCCATCCTCGGTACCTCCACAAAGGGCCCAATGACACACAAAGGGTCGTTTCTTTTTTCTGATATTTTAGGTCATTAGGCATGAGGTAGGACATGCGTTGCAAGCTGTTGAACCAGCACCTTAGCGTGGCTTTCTGCCATCCTCCTCCATGCCCTATACTTCCCTACTACAATCTATGTATTCAGTGCACACGTGCAGAAAGTGAGGTTCTTGATTCAGTAAGCTAGTCTTGGATTGGGCAATGCTTTACTGTACAAACATTTCATCAAATCAAGGCCGTGCCAAGGTGCTCAGCGTCACTGAACCCTCATAGACCTGTGCAAAGAAGAGGTCCCATTTGCATCCTCGGACTTGCCAGGTTTGCTGCAAGTTGGGCAGCCTATTCTCCACTTTGTTCTTGAAAGAATCGTCTTTGCAAAGATTACCTGCAGGAAACTGAGAAACCAAAACTGAAGTTTTGTGCCTACTCATCTGCCTTTCTTTCTCCCCAAACCTCTCCCCCTCTCTCTCTAACTCGCCCCGCTGCCCAAACTAGTGTCGTGCACCGAGCATCCGAAATAGCGAGGCAGCAGCTGAAGCAAACCCATGACCTTCAATGATGGAGCCCGCGGGCGCGGGCACTGAAAGAAAACACATGTTCCTAGTAGCGAACATTGCTCCGTTCGTAGTAAGGCCAGGAGCCCCGAACGTAGCGTCTGATCGCTCCGTTCGTAGCGATGCCCTTTCCTCCTAGCGTCCTTTCTCCTACCCAACACACACACACACAGTTTGACATCAGAAGCTCAACTTTCTCAACTTGAAGAGACTTCGATGTCAGCTGTTTTTGATCACTTCCTTGTGCATCAAGCGATGTGACCAGAATCCCGCCTTCCAGGCAGATCTGAAGCTCTCCTTCAACACCACCTGCAAGGCTGCGAGGGGGATCTTACGTGCACAAATGGATCTGTGTGGGCAAATCTGTGTTTTTTGAACTTTCCGCTCTACTGAATTCTTCATTAAGGGTCTCAAACAGCACAAGAAAGTCTGTGACCCGTTATGAGCCCATATGAGCCCCTCCGCTCTTGCGCTGTCGCTTGTTGTTGAGAAGCGGATGACACAGTCGTTCTTCGCCTCTAAAGCACACAGGATGAAGCCGCCGCGCCAACGACCACGGCCCGAGGGTGAACTCCAACCTTCGGCGTAGCAAGCATGCAACACCTTGTAGTCCAAACCTACTAGGAATGGCTTCCAACCTACTAGCAAACGATATTAGACCTTTCTTCCTTCTCCTCTTTCACAGGCCAAAAGCATGCAACGCCTGCTTAAGTCAGCCTTGCCAAACAGAAATGGCCAAATCCTGAGAAATCTGAACTTATATGGCCTCTAGGCCGCAGGCGCCACAAATGCACCAGCTCCGGTCCCCCCCGAGATCGGCCAAGAAGCTGATGGGCCGGCCAGCTTCGCCATGAGGGGCGAAGTTGAAAGGTGTCACCTTTGGAACCGAACGAAGACGAAGAAACGCAAAAACGCCAAAACGGAACGACGGTACACGCATGGAAAGCACAACGAAGGGAACCAGGAAGTGAAAAACAGCATCCGTGTTCGTCGCATGTTTTGCTTGGTTTCGTTCACTCGGTCAGACTGCAAGGCGTAATTAGAGGAACGTTTTCTTGCAGGAAAGAAGACAAGAAAGGAATGAACGAAGGAAGGCCCAAGGGTAAGACTACAGTAAGCACAAAGAACAAACACATGAAAGGTACTTGCTTGATAGGTCTGGTTAAGAATAGGAGTCATTAATAAGCAGTTTGAGTGTTCAAGGGCACCATGCAGTTAGAAAACACGGGGCAGGTGAGTTCGAAGACGATGAAAAGTGAGAATGACACTAAGTCATTGCAAAGCAGAAATGACACATCGTAAGGAAAGCACTTACCACGTTATCAGTGAGGAACACCTTGTCGAAGAAGTTTATGTCATGCATGCTTCTCAGTGTTTTCAGTTGGAACTAGTCAAGGACAAAAGCCGTGGAACTGATAGATGTGAACCTGACTTGAGTGAACATGGAAAAGGGCCCATCACGGCCCATCAAAACCTAAGGGCGATGGCCTCCAACCTACTGATGGCCTGGCGTGTTCCATTCTTCCAAGAGACGTGAGGGTTCACCTGCACGGCGACCGTGTAGCGGACCCCAAAGGCCTTGCTACGCGCATGCTCAGCGCGTGCTTGTCGTGACATGTCGTGACACCATGCAGAGACGAACCAATGAGTCACATGACTAGTCGTAATAGTCATAAGTAGCGATGCCCTTTGCTCCTAGTAGCCATGCCGTTTGCTCCTATAGTAGCTACTTGCTCCTAGTAGCGATGCCAGGAGCCCCTAGTAGCGTCCTTGCTCCTAGTAGCGATAATAATGGTCATTGATAATATGAGTTTCACATAAAAAGCATATTATGCTCATTCAAAGCTCTTGTTCAAATCACTTTCATTCTAATGCCTCAGCAAGCATTCGGACAATGGAGTGGTGGATTAAAGTCGGGGTTACATGTGACAAGCGTTGCTCTGGCAATGCCTCATGGCGACTCTTGCCCCACATCGTGCAACCCACACGACTGTCCTGCGCCAGCGTGAGGGATGGAATATCGAAGTCAATCGAGCCATCAGCATAGCAGGTTTGCCGCTCACAGTGTGCACCTTGGGCAGACTTGGCACAGCGCAGTGCGACAGCAAGCTAGCATCTCTCACGCATGTGTTCCTTTCCGTCGAGGTACTTGTGAACATGGGCGGTGTCGCACATCCCCTCCCCCCAACTCTCCCGTGGCAAGGCAGACTTTAGAAGTGGTGCTCCAAAGCTTAACCCCTCATAACACATTCTTTCAAAACATAATATTTTTCTAGGTAGTATGAAGCGGTTTAAGCCGCATTTTTTGCAGTTTCCATTGCCTCCCCCAAACCAATTGCCAGGACACGAATGAGCCCACTCTCTGGGCATTTCTCCAATAGCCTCACTGTGAACGGTGGACTGAGATCTTCGACTTTCCATAAAACCTTCAAATTGGGAAGTGGGATGTGACCATGGAAAAATGTCTCATTTGCTCAAAGTGATCCTTGGGAATCCTTTCTTTTGGCAACAAACACGGAAGCATTTATATACAGTAATTACAATTACATGGATACTATTGCAAACGACACGAAGGATTTGGGAGACTGAAGGAGACTACTTAGTAAACTGCTCCGGTGCCCAGTCCCATTTTGTTTGAGTATGATGCTGTGGAAGCATGCACGGCCTGATTCGGCTGAAGAGAAACAGCAGTTCGTTGTGGTTTTGAGTTCCGCCGAGCCTGATTCAATCATTCTTCCCGATGGCCTCCAACCTAATAGCAATGGCCTCCAACCAGTTTCAGCAAGATCTATTCACCATCAAGTTTTGTGCTTGCCACGGCCATACGAATGGAGTTCCCTATCCCGGCCCCCTTTGTGGTCCGAAATGCTTGCTGGGATTTAGCAAGCCAGGCATAGAGCCGGAGCAAATCACCGCTGATGCAATCAAAACGTGCGAGTGCGTCTGGTAGTTCAAGAGCAATGGCACTTGCCTCGAGCACATGCGCATCTAAGCCATCCTTGAACATGTTGCAAGGCAATAATGAAATTGTGATCGGGTTGATCAAGCTCAAAGCTAAACTGCAAGACGTCTCCGTTTGAAGAACAGCCAAGATGTCACCACCTTTCCCGCGCCTCAACCCTGCCCTCGCCGGTGGAAGACAAAAATGAGTAGATGAACAACATGTAAGTTTCGATTAAAAAACAAACGAGTTGCACCTCAAGCAAAGGCACTAGCTGAGGCGCTACAAACCAACGCGCTCGAAAGCATTCTGCTCTTGCCATTGCATGTCAACAAGTCTAAATCCATGTCAATATTTGACTACAGTGCGTTCTTGCTCTTACTTTGTTCTTTAGACTTTCGACGTTTTGTTCTTACTTTATATTACTTTTTGTTTTTGAACATGTTGGAGTGACAGTGATGAAAAAAAGCACACCGCAGTCAAAAGTGGACTTCTTGCATTCCCTGAGTACGATCAAATCTTATCCGAAGGGCTCACCGCTGTCACCCGCCACAATGCTGCAAGTGATGTTCAACACCTTGATTGAACGAGGCTAGCGGGTAGTGCTAGTAGGTTGGAGGCCATCGCTACTAGGTTGGAGGCCATCGCTATTATTAGAAACAAAGAAAAAAGAAAGGAAGAACGGTATATATATATATATTATATAGTTTGCATATTCGGTTGGGCCGTGCGCGACATAGGGCTCCTTGTGCACTTTAAATGCGTTTCTTAGTCGCAAAAGCCTCCCGGTCGTTGTTTGTCCCACCACCATATAAAGCTAAAGAATCGTGAAGTCCCACAGCCCCTTGTAGCAGGAACTGAATATATCTCTTGAATTGCTTGAATCAGGGTTCGATGTGTGATACCATTCTTTCCACGTTTCTTCTCTGCGAGGAGTAAGAACATCCTAATGGAAGCGTAGCATAGTAAAACATTCAACACTTTCTGTCTGCTTTCTGTATCACTACTAGGAGCAATACTCGCTACTAGTAACAAAGGGCAACGCTACTAGGAACAAGGACGCTACTAGGGGCTCCTGCCCATACTACTAGGAACCTCTTACTACTAGGAGCAAGGACGTTGCGCACGGACGAAAAGCGCCAATTGGACCCAAGAGGCCCGGCCAGTGCGCTTGAATGCTTCCAAGAAGGTCGTCTCTCCCAAAGCCCAAGTCCTCAGGGAGACTGTGCAGGCACCAGGCATGTGATGGCGTGCGGTCCTGTATTGCAATTGGGGCTCTTGTTAGGTTGGAGGCCATCGCTACTAGAAACAAGTAAAAAGAAAAAGGACCAACAACTCAAGATGACCAACCACACAGCCACTATCCCACTTTCCCCCCCCCCCGCTCTCTCTCTCTCTCTCTACGCGCTCTACAGCACTGATGGTCGAGCAATCTGCACCCCCCAAATTGCCAGACTTGCTCTTTCAGCCACAGAATCTCTGCCCATCGCTCAATGGGCTCGCGGGGGAACACACATCCTGAGCTAGGCACACCAAATCATGTCCATGAGGGCAGCACAAGAGGTGTCAACATGTCAGGTCCTTGACCGATCTGCGCCAAATTGCCCAAACTTCAGATACTAGGAACACGTGCATCGCTTCTAGTAACAAGTGCCTTACTAGTAGTAACAAGAAGCTACTAGGAACAATTCGGAAGTTGTGATTCGTTGGGGGCTTTCTGAAGAGCTCCGGAGCGTCGATTCGTCGCTTCCAAGAAACCAAACTTGATGTAGTGCCTCACTCGCTCCAGCCATGAGCCGGCCCACAACGTGATGGAGGGCTGCACCTGGAAAATGGGCATTGTGGAAGTCTGACAGTGCCCCCATGTGGCCTCTGATCTTATGGGCCTCAGTCTCCCTTCCAGTAGTGCTCCAGCTGCCACTGTTATCATGGAACACCAAATTCTTGCGTCTTACATTGCTAGTTACTAAATATCAACTTTTACCACGCTTTCATCAATACTGGAAGGATACAGTCAATGTTCATTCGAGCAAGTTCCGGCAAACCAAGGCCTCGTCCGGATTGAGTCGCAATGGATACCTGAATGTGCGGATTTGGCTGTGGCGCCTTGAAGCCCTCGGGGCACATATTCATATAGGAACAAGGACACTACAAGGGGCTCCTGGCCTTACTACTAGGAACAAGAAGCTACTAGTAACAAAGGGCATCGCTACTAGCAACAAGGACGCTACTAGTAGCTCCTGGCCTTACTAACATGTTCATATTCATACAATTTCATACTTCTGATTAAACCTGCTAGGTTTTGCACCGCCAAGTCGAATCTACTCCAGTTGGGCCTGAGGTCACATGAGGTAGTCGGGGTATGTATTGAGTGCTCACTGACCAAGCACCCCCAAACGCCCCGACTGAGCCAGATTCCTCACAGGTCGTTCGACTGTCACTGTCAGCGCATACGACCTGCTCGTTCGCACTAGGAAAGCTTTCACATCGCAGGCCACACAGTGTCCAACACCTCACAAAACAACACACATGTTGTGTGATAGAACTCCCACTGAAATTCTTTCTTGTTGCATCTGCATTCGAGGGGCGCTTCTCCTTTGCAGTCCCCGAGCAGCTCGTCATCGGTGCGGCAGCAAATGTACGCCGCAATGGCGGCGCCTCCCGACGTGCCACTGATAATCTTTGGCAGCAACTTTTGACGCCTTGGATCGTGCGCCGGCACAAAGCACATGGGATAGTAATGTCAAATCTCCGACCACTCCTATATTTCACACTTTACCCTGAAAAGCCTTTGAGCTCCTTGGGCCTTACTATTTCCTCAAGAAAGCCCAACAAGCATGGGCCCAGGATTTATTGTTGAATCCCTGCTGCTCCTTTTTGTCTGACAGAATGCACAGCAGCAAGCCTGCTGCATGATGCTTCCCTGCTTGAACGCATGCAACCTATAGTAAAGTCCATTCGCATCTTTGCGGATTGCTTGTCCACAAACATGTTTTCTTCTGAACATAAGGCGACATAACTTCGCCTCCGTCTCAATCTGAATCTGGCTGTCTCACCAAGATAGTACCGCCTGCAGCTGTTTCTCCATCTTTTCCTTCAACGTTGTGAATCATCTGAGCCAGAGCCAGCATCGTCACTCTCCACTGGCAGCAATGTGACCCATTTTAATCCTGCGGTTCCTCGATTAGCCCAGCCGGCTGCAAAAGGCAGTTGCAGATCCAAGCTGCCATCTTCCAAAATCTCTCCCAGCAACACTTCTGGAGCGGTTTCCACGCTATCGATGAAAACGCCCCGGCGGGTGCAAGACCTGACGACGCTTCCGAGGCTGCGAAGGCGCAAAATCCGATGCGAGGGGAAGGGTCTCAGAACGTGTCAACACGGCATAAAGGTTGAAGGCAATCGCTCTTAGGTTGGAGGCCATCGCTGGTAGGTTGGAGGCCACCGCTAGGAGGCAATCGCTCTTAGGTTGGAGGCCTAGTAGGTTGGAGGCCACCGCTAGGAGGCAATCGCTCTTAGGTTGGAGGCCATCGCTTCTAGGTTGAAGGCCACCGCTAGGAGGCAATCGCTCTTAGGTTGGAGGCCATCGCTAGTAGGTTGGAGGCCACTGGTAGGAGGTAATGGCTCTTGGGTTGGAGGCCATCGCTAGTAGGTTGGAGGCCACCGCTAGGAGGCAATCGCTCTTAGGATTCTTAGGTTGGAGGCCATCGCTAGTAGGTTGGAGGCCACCGCTAGGAGGCAATCGCTCTTAGGTCGGAGGCCATCGCTGGTAGGTTGGAGGCCACCGCTAGGAGGCAATCGCTCTTAGGTTGGAGGCCATCGCTAGTAGGTTGGAGGCCACCGCTAGGAGGCAATCGCTCTTTGGTTGGAGGCCATCGCTAGGAGGTTGGAGGCCACCGCTAGGAGGCAATCGCTCTTAGGTTGGAGGCCATCGCTGGTAGGTTGG